CAATTCAGGAGACATGGGTTCAACCCCTGGGTCGGGAAGATCCCCCAAAGAAGGAAATGGTAACTCCCTTCAGTATTCTCCAATGTGGAGAATCCCATGGACACAAGGGCCTGGTGGGCTATGGTCTATAGAGCCATAAAGAGTAGGACATGACTGAAAGGACTTAGAGTGAGGGCCAGGTCCACTGGAAGTCAAATCTTCTGCTATCTTGAGCCAGCTAAATTCTAACTGGTTTTTGTGGTATCCCATTCTTAATGGTTGTGCCATTCTTTTCATCATTGTGCCCTTTTGTCTCAATTATTTTGAGCTAAAAAGTATCAAAAGACCCATAAAGAAAGCTCTGACCTTCCCCTTTAGCTGCCTAAAGAATTTAGACAGAAGGAGGCCTGTTCCCAAAACAGAGCTATCACCAGAGTTATCTGCAAAAAATATAGGCTAGACAAGGAAGTATTGTACAGCATAGGGACATATAGCTGGTATTTCATAAAGACTTTAAATGCAGCACAATCTATAGAAGTATTGAATCAGTATGTTGTACACCTGGAACTACTATAATATTTTAAAGCAACTATACAACTATAGAAAAAAAAAAGAATATGGGCTAGATGTGATGGGGGAAACTTGGGCAAGCCTAGATATCGGAGTCCACTCTGTGTTCCATTGTCTCTGCATGGCCCAGCAAACATTTGTTTATCAAACATTTGCTTTTCCATGTCNAATATTTTAAATCAACTATACCACTATAGAAAAAAAAAGAATATGGGCTAGATGTGATGGGGGAAACTTGGGCAAGCCTAGATATCGGAGTCCACTCTGTGTTCCATTGTCTCTGCATGGCCCAGCAAACATTTGTTTATCAAACATTTGCTTTTCCATGAGGTGAATGAAACTATGACATATTATACAGAGTGAAGTAAGTCAGAGAAGGAAAAGCAAATACCATATATTGTTTCCTGACGAAACAATTTGCAGGGCAGCAATGGAGATGCAGACATAGAGAACAGATGTCTGGACTCAGTTGAGGGAAGGAGAGGATGGGACAAATTGTGAGAGTAACAATGACACATAAACATTGCCATAAGTAAAATAGACAGCCAGTGGGAATTTTCTGCATGACTCAGGGAACTCAGATCTGGTGTTTTGTGACAACTTAGAGGGGTGGGACGGGGTGGGAGGTGGGAGAAAGATTCAAGAGGAAGGGGACATATGTATACCTATGGCTGATTCATGTCAATATATGGCAGAAACCAACACAATATGATAAAGCAATTACCCTCCAGTTAAAAATAAATTAAAAAAAAAGATTTTCCATTCAATGTAAATTGCCTTCCTTCCCTTCAAATTCTCAGGCTGAAATCATATATCTCAGATTGGACTTGAACAGTCCTCTGAGGTCACGCACTTAGTCTCAGGACTTCATGAAGCTCAGGTTCTTGATGTCTCATCACAGAAATAATTCAGTGAGAGACAAAGTGATAGGCAAGAAGTGGATTTATCTAGAGACAAACACGTTCCACAGGTAAGAGTGTGGACCATCTCGGAAAGTGAGAGTGGCACCAGGGTACAGGGTTGTCAGTTATTACAGGTAATGAGTAATTTAGCCTATGAGTAATTTCATAAGCCAATGAGTGGGAGCTTTCCTGGTTGCTCAAGTGGTAAAGGGTCCACCTGCAATGGAGGATAACTTGGTTGGGAAAATGCCCTGAAAAAGGGAACGGCAACCCACTCCAGTATTCTTGCCTGGAGAATCTCATGGACAGAGGAGCTTGGCTTGCTATAGTTCATAGGGTTGACTGAAGTGACTGAGCATGCATGCAATGAGGGGAAGACGTATTTCAGTTATTTGGGGGAAGGGGTGGGGATTTTCAGGAATTGAACCACCACCTAGTTTGTGACCTTTGTGGTCAACCTGGGAACTGTCATGGTGACTGTGGGTGTGTCACATAATTTGCTCATGTGTTATAATTAACATATACCGAGTCTCAAGGTGTAGTGGAAGTCTGATCCACAATCTTGCACCTATATGGTTCTAATCAGTTTATGTCATGTCTTTGGGCTATGTCATTCTTTTAAAGATTGTGCCATGTCCCCTTCCCTCCTGTTTCAAGAACACTACCCCAACACCTGAAGTAAAGAACTGACTCATCTGAAAAGACCCTGATGCTGGGAAAGATTGAAAGCAGGAGGAGAAGGGGATGACAGAAGATGAGAGGGTTGAATGGCATCACCAACTCAGTGGACATGAGTTTGAGTTAACTCATGGAATTGGTGATGCACAGGGAGGTCTGGTGTGCTGCAGTCCATGAGGCTGCAAAGAATCAGACACAATTGAGAGACTGAAATCAACTGAACCCCCAACACACCCCTTTGTCTTCTGCTGAGGGTGCTATTTAAGGTGATTTTGGCCATTCTGGTGAGTTGCTGGATTTCCTGGCTCTCTTCTATGTATACAAGTTTTGAAACTTTTGTTAGATTTTTCTTCTGTTATCAGTTTCATGTCAATTTAATTCTTAGGCCAACCAGAAGAACTTCGAAGAGCAGAAGAAAATTTATTTCTCACTGATGTCTCCATGTGCCAAGTGAAGACTCTGGTTCAAGATTTGTCACCTACAAACTGAGTGACCAAAAGAATTGTCATAGCCCCTCTGATCCTCTCTCTCTTCTTCTGTAAAATGAGGATAATAATGTCTAATTTAAGGCCCAAATGTATATAATATTAAACACTTAGTTGAACTACTGCTAGTATGCTTCCAGAAACACTACAAGAAAAAATAGATCTGGAAAGACAATTGGGAACACAAAGGAACAAGGAAATATGACCCAAGTTTGAATGTTGGACTCTGTTGTAGACTTGGGGTTATCAGGTCTATTTTCCTAAGGGCTGGTCATGAGCACAACAATGATATCTGGGTAGAAAGGCCAGTGACTGAGTTACAACACTTACTACATAGACAGAAAGGACCAACCTTAACAAAACCTGAGTTAGACCTTCCCGAGATGGAGGAGGAAGATCGTGGAGTAGAAGGATATGTGCTCATCTTCTCCTGTGAGAAATCCAAAATTACAACTTGCTGCTGAACAACTGTCCACAGGAGAATTTTGGATACCACCAAGAAAATTTACCACATGTCTAAGAGCAAAGGAGAAGCCCCAGCAAGACAGTAGGAGGGGCAAAATCAAGTTTAGAATCAAATTGCATAAGAACCAGAGACACTTGGAGGATTCAAACAAATCTTGTATGCACCAGGACCCAGAGACCCCATAGAGACTGATCCAGAACTGTGTTTGAGTGTCTCCTGCAGATGTATGGGTCAGGAGTGGCTTGCCACAGGGGCAGGGGCTCTGGGTGCAGCATACCTGGGTATGGCATAAGCCCTCTTGGAGGAGGTTGCCATCAACCCCACCATANGGGTTCTCAACAGGAAAGGGGTGACCTTGTGCCACAATCCCCTGAGAAGGTTTTGCAAAGCACACATGCCCAGACCCCCAGGTTCACCTCTCCTGATTCTCATAGGCTTTCAGTGGGTTGGGAAGTTATTCTGGCCTTTCAGTTGACCCACTACCCCTGATGTGAAAACTGATATGCACCCCAAATCTGCATAAGGACATACACCACACTCAGGGAGGCTGGGTGTGCCATGGCACAGGGGAGCCCCTCGGGCCTGTGGAAACCACGCAGACTGACCTGTGTGCTTGGTCATGTGGTACTTGAGCTGGTTGACCCACTTGCACTTGTAGCCACAGTCAGGGCACAGATACTTCCGTTCCTCCTTGTGGATCCGCATATGGTACTGGAGGAGAGAAGAGCAGAGAGCACCCAGAGAACATGTGCCTAATGGGTACTCACTGGACATGGAAATAGGGCAAGCAGGCAGAGAAACTGCTGGCAGATAATCCTGTTCCCTGCACCAAGCTGACCCATCCCACCCCCACCCCCAACTGCCAATCAGGTCCCCTAGGCCAGTCACTCGGACACCACCCTGATCCATTTGGCCAACCTCAGGTATACCTGATCTCAGCTGTGCCACTCATTTAGCTGTGTCTTTGGGCAACCTAACCCCTAATTCTCAGTTTATTAAAAATGCGAAACAGTAAAAGTATATTTCATATTTTCATAAGGATTAAAATTAATGCACAACATACAGTGTAAGTGCTCAAAAAATGTTAGCTATTATTATCTAGATTATCTACAATGCCTTTATCACATGCCAAGCATATATTATGGAATTCTATCTTTTTTGGCTACGTGGCATGGGGGATCTTAGTTCCCTGACCAGGGATTGAATCCACGCCCCCTGCGCTGGGAGCACAGAGTCTTAACCACTGGACCACCAGGAAGTCCTGGAATTCTACCTTTGTAACAACCCTATGCAGTATTATAACCTTTTCTCACAGATGAGCAACCTGAGGCTTGGAGAAGTTAAGGGACTTGACCCAAGTCACAGAGCTAATACATGGAAGAGTCAGGATTAGAGAACCCAGGTGGCTTTCACTGGGCAGCCTGCCTTCCTTCCGTTTCCGGACCCCACGGCCCCTGACCTTACCTTGAGGCGAGAGGGGTCCGCGCAGGCATAGGGACAGAGGTGACAGCGGTAGGGCTTTTCCCCGGTGTGGATACGGCTGTGCCAGGTGATCTTCTGCCGGTTCTTGGTGCTGTAAGCACAGTCCGTGCACTTGTAGAGCCGGGTGCCCCCATGCCCTTTCACGTGGTGATCCAGCACCAGCTGGTGGCGGCAGGCAAAGTCACAGAAGGGGCAGCGCAGAGGGGGCTGACCGGAGTCCCCCTCCCCGGCCGAGGCTGCCGCTGCCTCGGAAGTCTCCTCGTGCTGCTCCAAGTAGTGCTTCACCAGGCCCACCCGCTCCCGGGCAGCAAAGTCACAGAGCTGGCAGCGGTGGCTGAAATGCTGCTGCCTCCGGTGCTCATCCAGTGCCGGCCGGCTGGGGAAGGCCTCCTGACAGGCCCCACACTCGAGCCGGGGGTGCTGCTTCCGGGTGTGCCCCCGCAGGCTGGCGGGGCTGGCACACAGCAGCCCACAGCGCCACCCCAGTATTCTTGCCTGGAAAACCCCCATGGACAGAGGAGCCTGGTGGGATCGCAAAGAGTCAGACATGACTGAGCGACTTAGCACAGCACAGCACAATGAGTAAGAGAATTATTTCAACTATTTTAGGGAAGGGGCAGAGATCTCCAGGAATTGGGCCACCACCTACTTTTTGGCCTTTGATTGTTGGCCTAGGAACTGTTATGGTGCTGGTGAGTGGTCACTTAGCTTATGTTAATGTATTACAATGAACACATAATGAAGCTCAACATCCACTGGAAGTTGAACATTCCACCACCTTGGACCTGGTTGGTTTTAACCAATTTTTGTCATATCTTACTGCTCTATTATTCTTTTAAAGCCTGGGTCTTGACCCCTTCCCTCCTGTTTCAAAAGCAAAAATTTGTATGCTACCACACAAACTTTCTCAATTAACAGTATTAATGAGAGGGAGCAGAGGTACTTTGATTCAAAAGTAACAAAATGTATACTGGCTGCCTCTTCCACCAAATAAAAGCTTGAGAGGGACTTTATCGGTCCCCTTCCTTGCTGCATCACATGGTAGGCACAGAGTGAACATTCCTTGAGTGGACAAATGCTGAATTAATTCATGAATAGATGAGGTAGGGCTAATTAGAATTCAATTATTTGATACTGAATATGCTGACTAACATTGCAGTTTTAAGATCTTAAAAGCACGTGCATATTTAGTCAGTTCTTGACTATCCCTTCTGTAGCCTGTATGTGCTTCCAGATCATCACCTAGAATCTCTCTTTACTGCTCATTTGTTGCTAGTTTTTTGCCCAATTGGTTTGCAATCTATAACCATGTCTAAGCAGAAACCAGTTCAAGCCAGGCAATAATGTGAGTCTTCACTCTAGAATGAGCTTATATCTTGAGAAAGTTAGACTGATTGAGTAAATGAGGTTTTGGGTGGTCTATGTGAGGCCATCCATCTGTTTGCCCTGGTTCTCACAGTCCTGTAAAATTGAAGAGTGAGAGCCAACCCCGACTTCCTCAGAATCTCCCATGAATTGAGAGCACTGGCAATCTGTCTGGGGCCACAGTAATTGAAATTAATTGGATTTTAGAGATAATAACATTTATGCTAATGTGGTATTGAGAAGAGACAATAGCCCTGGAGATAAGTACCTTAGAGAGGTGGGGTGGGAGAATTTGCTGTCCCAGCTGGAGAGATTAGGAATCCTGGTGGGGCGGGTGGGTTGCTGCTCTGGTTGGGGTGTGAGACGAGGTACATGAAGTTATAAAGAAGTTGGGAGACTTCAGAGAAGCAAGAGAGGAGTAAAGTGGGGGTGGGGGTGGGACACGGAGAAAAGAAGAACCTCTTTGGTTAAGGATAACAGTCATAGAAATGAGCCAAATGTCCCTATTTCATGGTTTCTATGTATCAGGTGCTATGTGCTTATGCCATTTTAACCTCACAATAAATTCCTTAGGTGGTACTATGTTGTTTTCTTTATTTTAAAGAAGAGGCTTGGAGGGGTTAAGTAACTTATCCCAGATTGCTTGGCCAATGCGTGTGCAAAGTAAGTACTTGTAATCTTTTCTCCACACCACCTTTTGTTTGTCCAAAGCAGGGAACAAAGAGCAAAGAGGACCAGGAGATGTGAAGTTCTGCTACATCCCTGGAGAGAGTGAATTTGACAAGGGACCTGAAGGAAAAACCTAGGACCTGAGAGAATAATTTCAAATAGTAAGCCCTTTATAGGACTTCCCTGGTGGCTTAGTGGTAAAGAATCCACCTGCAATGCAAGAGATCCAGGAGATTCAAGTTTGATCCCTGGATTGGAAGATCCCCTGAAGGAGGGCATGGTAACCCACTTCAGTATTCTTGCCTGGAGAATACCATGGACAAAGGAGCCTGGTGGGCTACAGTCCATAGGGTTGCAAAGAGTTGGACATTAATGAAGTGACTGAGCATGCACATGCAAGCCCTTTACAAGGAAAGACCTTGGCTTATAGGTTTTCCCCTACCTTTGCATCATCAGCGATCTTCCTATGGGACTCTGCATGAGTCCTGTCAAGTGAGGGGTTCATGAATAGAAGGTGAACTGCAAAGCCATGCGATCAGCTGAACATGTTAATGAACCAAACATTACTGTGAGTGAGCATGAGAACCATCACCCCATCCTGGCCTGTGTCCCAATAACTGAGGAAATAGACCTTTGCAAACTTAGTCTCCAATACCTTGGCCACCTGATGTGAAGAGCTGACTCATTGGAAAAGACCTGATACTGGGAAAGATTGAAGGCAAAAGGAGAAGGGGGTGGCAGAGGATGAGATGGTTGGATAGCATCACTGACTCAATGGACATGAGTTTGAGCAAACTCTGGGAGAGAGTGAAGAATGAGAAAGCTGGGCATGCTGTAGTTCATGGGGCCACAAAGAGCTGGACACCATTTAGTGATTGACCAACAACAAACCTTATCTACACTGGGGTTTTCACACTGAAAACTCTTGCAAGCTTTTATTAACTGTATTAAGCTGGAAGTGGCATAGCAAGAAGATGGAGAGAGACTGGCTGGGGAGAATCAGATTTTGGAAGAGAACCCCAGATCACATGAACGGTGGCCATGAGAGGGAGGGAAACCTCACTGTGAGTGTTTTGTCTAGAGTGTGAGTAAGCTATTCTGTCAAGGCTTCTTGAAGGTTAAGTAGTGGAATGATCTTGGAGAGAATCTGGGCCTTCTGAGACATACTGGCACTGCTTTGTGTGTGGCAGTGTGATGTGCTATGGAGAAATTTTGGAGATAGAGCTGGATTCAGTTACAAGCTGAACCATCCATTTGCTGGGTGACCTTAAGTACTTCACCTTTCACGCGTGATAAGTTGCTTCAGTCATGTCTGACTCTTGTGTGACCCTATGGACTGTAGCCCGCAAGACTCCTCTGTTCATGGGATTCTCCAGGCAAGAATACAGGAGTGGGTTGTCATGCCCTCCTCCTGGGGAGCTTCCCAAACCAGGGATCAAACCCACATCTCTTACAGGCAGGTTTTTCTTTTTTTTTACCACTAGCATCACCTGGGTGCTAGCACCACCACCTAGGATGCTTAAGAGCCAAGTACGGTACCCTACATGTACCCTACTTGTACTAGGGTACTTGTACTAGGGTACCCTCCCAAAGTTTTCTGGGGGTTTCCAATGAGTGATTCAAACCTTTGGCCCATCACAGACACTCTATGAACAGTGTGGATTTTGTGGATGTGTTTGTACTTCGACCAGGTTGTGGGAGTGGAGAACAGAAAATTGAGGATCCCTCCTCTTTATCTTTGATTTTTAGTATTCTTTTCTATATTATCAAAGAAGTCTGCTGAGATATGAACATTAGCCTTCCAACTCTACTTCACCCAGATTTAAGTCAACATTGAACTTTGTGTTTCCCAAATGGAAGCCATATCACTACTAATCCATTTGGTCATTTCTTTCTTCTTATTTTGAGCTTTCTTCCAGTTACTTATGTTTGAAAAAGTCTAAAATGTACCTTTAATTCCTTGTCATACAGACACCTGCCACTTCCAGCTACTTCTTATAATAAAAGGATTCTTTATTCAGTATAATGTGTTAAGGCTATATGCAAATACTGTTCTTTTTCTTTTTGCTATCTAGGTCAAATCATGGGACTCTTCATGCGTGTTTGAGAAAAGGGCCAAAATTAAAATGGTAGTGAGATTAACAAACACATTCAACCAACTAGATCTGGTCTCAAACAGAACAATATTTAAACCAATTCTAAAGTCATGGTATGTTTAAATTTCATGAATTCTTGTTGGCTTGCCTTCCAAGTCATTAGGAAAGCCATTCACCTCCCTACTAATCAATCAGTCTAATTGATTACTAATCAATTTCCAGAAGCCCTGAAATCCTAGCAAAACTGCCTGCCATCCCCTGTCCATCGCAGTACCATGCCACTGCCCTGCTCTCCTATTTCTCTTGGTCTTTGTCTCTGGGAAAACTTACACAGGCTTTATAGAGCTTACTTGACCTTTTTGAAGCATAAACACAGCACCATAATGACAGTCAATTAAATTAAAAGGCTGTCTGTCCCGACACTGCAGTGCCCTGAAAACAGTGAAAACTACTAGCCACTTAGAAGCAATGAAAAGCATCAAACCGGGTAGAAATTGCGGTGCTGCTCTTAAGTTCAATTTTCCTTGTAGCTCAATTTCCTAGCTTTGCACTTTCCTAGGTAAATCACATTAATAGACGAGAAGGAGGGGGGCATGGGGAGATAGGTGGTAGAGAGCCAGATAGTCCACTGAAGAGAGAGCATCTCATCCTGAGCCATGAGGCAATAGGAAACAGGTACTCTTGACAAGCAGGTATTCAGCAGTATGAGAAGTCACTTAATAGGAAGTGGGAGCAGAGGTCTTCTGCTGGCAAGGAGTATCTTCATTATTGCTGTCATGGTGCCTGTTAACTATCCCCATCTATCATTCGTTCAATACCTCAGTGAAATTAGCCAACTGCATATTAGAACAGAGCTCGAACGTGCCAATCTCCCTGGAAAGCATTAAGCTGTCTTCTGTTGTGCACTCTCCCCACCCTTCGCTCTTTTTTTTTCTTTAACTGCCCGTTAATGAACTTTCATTTGCATCATGAGACAATGAAGTCCTTTGGCCATTTACGTGAAGTGACAGGTGCTCTGTAGGTGACTCTGTTAGCCGCTTGCCATCTTTGCGGAAGCAGTGGGCCAGAGTGGATTTGTATCTCAAACATTACTTGCCTTTTGCCCATCTCTGGATGGAAGCAGTACACTTTTAGCTGGCAGAATGAGTCTCTGCCTTTGGCTTAATAAACTGGCTTGTGGCCAACTTCATGAAAAACTATGAAGCCAGTTTTGACAGATCCGTTTACAGGATCCTAGCTCATAAACCATGAGGAGAACAGGACATCTAGGAGCCATAACAAAGTTGCTCTTTCTATCCCAGGAGATGCGTGATGTAACACATCT